GTAAATAATAATAAATAAATCTTGAACCATTTGATAAGTGCCAAACATGAGACTTGAATAATAAACAGAAAGTCAAAAGAAAGTCATCAGGATATCCAATAAAATATCAAAACATATTTGCTCTGACTTTATGCTATTTCATCCCAAACGGAGTAATGATGACATGTTAGAGCTCCGAGAAACGTGACTTTTAACTAGCAGACCAGCGGGAATATATGGAAACTTAATTCTACGAATGAATAAAAAATAAAGGTAATTGCGATTCTCTCAATTTCACAATTCAGACTTTTTTTCTTACAATTCTGAATTTAGGCCTAGTATATCGCACAATTCAGACTTTTTTTCCCCTATGGACTAGCAGTTCTGAGAAGGCTGTAAAGTCTTATTTTGAGATTAAACTCGCAATTATGAGATATAAATTTGCTGTCGCAATAACCGCAATATTGTAATATCGTGCTATTGACAAGCCAACTGCAGATTGGTGGGAAGTAACCGCAACAATCGCGATGTTCACTTTTTTCATGATGCTATGCCCTTCTTGTTTTACACTTAATGCACGTGTATTGAATGTTCAATATGTTAATAATCATAAGAGTGAAAAAAGTAATATTTTTACACCAACTGGCTCTTTTTACGTCATGTGTCCCATTGTGAATTGTAACGTTACATGGTTCCGTAGATTTTCACTAAACAGACAGAAAAAGAAAGAGAGAACATCTGAGCATGCACGATTACCTGCGTCTGTCCTTCTTCAGGTCAAGTTATATATATATTTGTGAGAAAAAACAACAGTTTACCCTCAGTTGTCAGAAGATGAAAGCGGTATCTTTGTCATAGCATCCTTTCAGCGTTTAACGGGATTTCCCACGACTGTGTCAGCGCTGTTCAGTACACTGAATCAATGGCATTGTTCTCTATGAAGTAAAACACCAGTTTCAGCATTACCCAGGTAATGCATTGATCGTCCATTGAGCATTGTAAAGTGGCACTCAATGTTAAATTAATTTCAACACCTTATTTCATTCATGAACGGTGCGTTTTTAAATGTAGGCAATTAGTTGACTCACTCGAAAAGACAGTCCCTTGCCGGCACCTCCTGGTGTAATAATGTAACTGCACTGACTGGCAGCCTGTGTAAAACCAGCACAGAGACAAGTCCCTGTACTCATACTGCTGCAATGTCAATAACACTGTCCTCTTGTCCAGTCAGAAATTTCTTCACCGCGACAGCCCTAATCTGAGTAGAAAAATATTGATTTGATTGCGAGATAAAAATATACAATTCTGAGAAGAAATGTCTGAATTGTTAGATATAAACTTGCAACCATGAGAAAAAGCGTTATAAGGAAAAGTTTTAATTCCGAAAAAGTCAAAATTGTGAGATAAAAAGTCACAATTACTGATTTTTTAAATTTATATTATTGATTTTTTTTATTCTGTATTGGAAATAAGCTTCCATAGGAATATGTTAAAACTAAAATAGTGAAACTAAAGTGCGTATCAGGTGTTGCTTCTATCGCAGGTGTCCTGTTCACAGTGTAACATTGTTTTAAAGTTTAAGGCTGTTTCGACAAGTATATCATGTAAATCCAGCACAAGTGTTCATTTGTATAAGATTAAACCATGTTTAATAGTTGACCCGTGCTGAAAGCCTTTTTTAAGAGAAACCAAAGGATTCTTTTCAGTCTCTCAGGCCTGGTACAAAGGCACAACTCGTTTGATGTTCTGTCTGCAGATGGGACAGATGGGCTGCGGCAAGGCCTGATAGCAGCGGAAACAGCAGCACACGTGTCCGCAGTCCAGCAGCACGCAGCCTCGTGGGTTACTCAGGCATATCACGCACGCATTCTCCGATACGTCCATGCCGTTTTCCTCCTCTCCTCGCTCTCCTGCACCCATCATTTCAAACGCCCTCCTCATGTTCTCCTGCTCCCATCGCAGCTTCAATTGGCGGTAGTACCTGCGGGACGCCCACATCAGCACGGCCACACCTGCCAATGCGCAAATGCACGCCAGCACCCTCCACACCTCTGCCTGCCCTTCCTGCTCCAGCCGCAGGGTTTCAAAGTCATCTGTGCTCAGGAAGTACTCTGAGCCGTCGGTGGGTGGGCGGATTTTTGGGAGGCGGTCCGTGTCCAGGATGAGCTCGCCCACTGCGGTCAAAGAGGCACCCACTTTCAGCATCTCCTCTGTTTCCAGTTGACCTTTGGGCTTCTCTCCACTCAGGTACTGACCGATCAGGTCCGTGAAGCCATAACTGGCCTGGTGGAACTTCTCATGGACGATCTCCATTTTGGGACCCGTGGCCTCCAGGGGACAGAGCACACGCACAAACGCCTTGTTCACACCCAGCAGGTTAAAGGGCACAGCATTCACACGCTGGTGAAGCACACGCTCGCTGTCTGTCCTGAAAGATGTGAAAGAGAATCGTGTGTTTTAGAAATGCCATGTTAGACTGACATATATACAATCCCGTTTGGAGTGTTACTGTATATATTTTTAATGTTTAAAAAAAAAAGTGAATTATGCTCACCAAGGCTCCATTTATTTGATCCAAAATACAGTAAAACAGAAATATTGTGAAATATTATTACAATCTAAAATAACTGCTTTCTATGTTAATGTATTTTAAAGTGTAATTTATTCCTGTGATGCAAAGCTAAATTTTCAGCATTCATTGCTCCAGTCTTCAGTGTCACATGATCCTTTAGAAATCATTCTAATATGCAGATTTAATGATCAAGAAACATTTTTTATTAATGTTGACAACAGTTGTGCTGATTAATATTTTTGTACAAACAGTGACACTTTTTTCAGGATTCTTTGACGAATAGAAAGTTCAAAAGAGCAGCATTTATTTGAAATAGAAATGTTTTGTAACATTATAAATGTCTTTACTGTCACTTTTGATTAGTTTAATGCATGCTTGCTGAATAAAAGTATTAATTTCTTTCTAAAAAAGATAAAAATCTTACTGTCACCAAACGTTTGAATGGTAATGTATATTAATATTAGCGAAGACCAGGACTAACCAAGTGCGTGCTAAACTGTTCCACACAAGTTTGTGTTCTCGGAGTACCAGTTTCTGGATGACACCAACACTGCCTTCCTGAAACTGACTCCTTAACGGTTCCCCAATGGACTGCACTGTACCTACAGAGAGAGAAAGTGGGAACAAGTCAGTGGAAAGTGAAGGAGAGATTGAGTTATATTCTAAAGATCAGCTGAGACACTGTACAATGGAAAGTGAATGTTACCCTCGATGACCACATACTGCAGACATTTCCCTGGCGTGGCATTCAAAAGATCTGCTAACTTTTCATCCAGTGGCAAAACTGGAGCTTCCTAACATCAAAAACAAATTGGTTTCTTTTCAGAAAATTCTCCTACTCTTTCACTGCTACAAGTGTAGCAGACACTTTAAATCCAGAACTAATTCCAGGCACTAATTCCATATATCCAAGTTATATTTATATACAGGTACATGCATATATACTGTCTAAATGGTAATTTTTGCAATGTTACTCACATTAAGCTTGTCCACAGTTTTGCATTTCTTCCTGTAGATGTAATAAAACAGACCAGAGAGAGCCACACTTGAACCCAAACACACCATCTCCAGTGTCCGGATGGGGAAATCCTCCATCTTCCACCTCACCCTCTTCCTCTTCTCTAGACTACTGAACACAGAATGAAATCATAATGAACAGGTGCAAGATTCAAGATGAATCAAGAGAACCTATGGTGATTTGATTCAGCATTGATTTTCATTCATTTTTACTCCTGTCGTTCATTTAGCAGATGCTTTTAATTACATTAACACAGGTTAGTTTCTTTTAGTTTCTTTAAATAGTTCAGAAAACGTCCAATTTAAATAACTGATGTCATATAGGGGTTCAGCTGACATTAAAGTTTGTGCCATTAACAACTAGATGGGTCATATAGACAAACTTAGATGTTGGCTTGAGAGCCTGGTTTGAAAAAGTTTTAAAAGCTTGAAGGTTATAGTTTAAAGGTGATCCAGGTCAGAAAGAATCTCAGACCAACAGACAAGAAGATTATCTAGCTGATTACAGATAGATAGAAGCAAAAATGAAAGACAGAGAGAGATGACAAAGCCTTGCAAGTCTTTGTTTACACTGGAATTGAACATTTCGATCATTTAAATCTATGGCATTTTGGGGTGTTTTGATTGTCGATTTAAGGGAAACCGACATAATAACACTACCAACACCACCGCAATGAAATATACATAACAATAACCATAGTTCACCAAACAAGGCAAATCATCTGTGGGCTGTCAAAATAATATGTGACCCATAAATGACCTTTAAAGACTTTAGCCTAATACTTTGACCACGGTTACACATGTATGCTCATAAATAAATATTAAAGTTCTGTCTGAAACAACAGAAATGAATAGAGCGTGAATAAGAAGCAGAAATAACCTTTTACACTCACGATCCTCCTGAAAACGGCGATGTTGTTTAGGTCACGTGGCACGTCAATGCGCGAGGACCTCTTATAGGTAGCTATGAATTTTGCCTGACTATGAATTTGGGGCCGTTGCATAAGACAGTTAACTTGTCTGACCAGCTAGCAGTTAGCCCAAGAGTAATCAGTCGTTTTTTGGATTCAACTTAAACTAATCTACATTTTTATGTAACCAAAAAAAAAAAAGAAAAAAAGACCAGTCTTAAAGAAAAAAAATAGACTAACTTGTAAGACTTTTATGCAACTGGCCCTTTGTGACACAAAACGTTATGCAGCCAAACACAGTTTAACGTAAACTAAAAATATATATATATTTGTTTAGCAGTTTAATTTAAAAATCGCCTAAAAATGCCGCTAAAACCTTTTAAACAAACAGAATTTATAAATAAATTGAAATAAATATATAAGTAAAGAAACAAACAAATATATAAATAAATACTTACTAACAACATACTGTATATATTCACAATTGGGATGGTTTTTTTTCAATGCCATTTTTGCCCTGCGATCGAATCCATTTTTTCCACTCTACGGACTTTTAATTTGGAACTCGGCGTTTCCGAATACACTTCACCAAGGCGGCCAACATGGCAGGAGGAAAAAAGAAATCCTCGACTCTACCATCAAGAATTCAGAAAACACTTTCCTCCGTATGGCAGGACAAACACATGGTGTTGTTCAAAGCAGAGTACACGTTCTTGGTCACGGCCGTCCTTTGGTTCCTGGAAATTGGGATTAACATATGGGTGATCCAAAGAGTTGAATGTAAGTGCAGTAGAAATCAATCACTGACATGATCCTTGGATAATTAAAAGTAATAGTTAACAATTCATAAATGGAACAGCAGACTTAAGAAACTCCATACTGCTTGATGTTCAAATAGGATAGCAGTGCATGCTGTTAATTCATTCATTCATTCATTTCATATAGACTCAAATGTCCAACTCAACTCTGCCTTCCAAAATTGTAGTCTGGTTAAGTTGTGTATTTGATCCGTAGGGACTCCTTAAAAGGAACACGCGCACACACTCAATGCTCATGTTACTGTCAGTCACGCGCACCATATAACCAAAATGACAACGAGACACTGAATAGCAGTATGCAGAGAGATGCCAGTTATAAGTGCCATCGTGATTCCTCTGTCTAATGATGTAGTTGTTGTGTTTGTAGATACAGAGATCGACTGGAAGGCGTATATGGATGAGGTGGAGGGAGTTATTAACGGCACATATGACTACACACAGCTGAAGGGCGACACGGGGCCGCTGGTGTAAGTGTCAACATAGAAAATGTGTGTTGTGTATTCCAGCTTTTAGATGGAATACCTCTTCCTGTATACCTGTATAGAATGGCATATTAAATGAAAATCTGGCCACTAATCATTTACTGGATTATATATACTGTATGTGTGTTTCAGGTATCCAGCTGGTTTTGTGTATATATTCACTGGGTTGTATTATCTTACTGATCATGGACAGAATATTCGTTTGGGTCAGTATGTGTTCGCTGTGTTCTATCTCATCACTCTTCTGCTTGTGTTCCGCATTTACCATTGCACCAAAAAGGTAATGATCCCATATAATGCAAATCCATTATACATACTGTACATTCTGTTCAGTCAGTTTTTTTTTTTTACACCCAAGAATAGCCAGGATCTTTTTACAAACCACTGTTCAAAAGTTTGGGGTCTGTAAGAAAGGAGAGGAACATTGGATGCATTGACTGGTTTAAAAAAAATAATATATATATATATATATATATACACACACACTCACTGGCCACTTTATTAGGTACTAAATTAATTTATTTATATGAACTTTCTATTCATCAAAGAATCGCGAAAAATGTATCACCGTTATATATTACGGTCATATATTAAGCAGCACAACTGTTTTCAACATAAAAAAAATCACATGTAATAAAATGATTTCTGAAGGATCATGTGACACTGAATACTGGAGTAATAAATTCAGCTTTGTGTTGCAGAAATAAATTACATTACATAGATTCAAATAAAAATATATTATTTAAATAGTAAAAATAGTTAATAATATTTCTGTTTTTACTGTATTTTTGATCTGCTTTTGCTTGGTGAGCATAAGAGACTTCTTTCAAAAATCTTACCAACCCCAAACTTTTGAATGCTGGTGTATAAGTTATGTAATACAGTGTACAGTATTTCTACGACATGTATTATTAATTCTATGACCTGTATATCCAACTTCAGCTAAACAACATTTCTGGTTTTATTATGTTTTTGACATTTTTCATGATTCTGAAAGTGTCTTATTAATAGTGCTTGTCTGTTTATTCTTCTCTAGGTTCCTCCATATGTGTTCTTCTTCATCTGCTGTGCTTCGTATCGAATTCACTCCATTTTCGTCTTGCGTCTCTTTAATGATCCGGTGGCCATGATGCTGTTATTCGGAGCCATCAATCTCTTCCTGGATGGCCGCTGGACTCTAGGATGTGCTCTCTACAGGCAAGTAGAAACAACATCTTCATTCTACATGGAGTGATAGATGAATGGTAAGAGAAACTGAGTATTTGAATTAAACAATTTACTATCAGCCATATAACTTTTTTTGACAATATTTTGATGCCTGATTTCTTCCTCGCTTTATAACATAAGAATAATTATCGTTTGATAAATGAATGGTCATTTCAGCAGTGTGTGTGTGCATTTAAAGTATATATTTGTCTGTGCTGTGGACAGTTTAGCTGTGTCTGTGAAGATGAATGTTCTGCTCTTCGCTCCTGGTCTCCTTTTCCTTCTGCTGTGTGAGTTCGGTCTATGGAAAACTTTACCTAAACTCACTCTCTGTGCTGTCATTCAGGTTAGACGCACATAATTAGACTCATTCACATATTTATTAAGTGATTCAACTGTCTTTTTGATGTTTTACACCAGCTTTTCATGTTTTTCTCTCTTTCAGCTGGTATTGGGACTGCCGTTCCTCTTGGTGAACCCTGTTGGGTATGTTAGCCGGGCCTTTGACCTGGGCAGGCAGTTTCTTTTTAAGTGGACGGTGAACTGGCGTTTTCTTCCTGAGGATGTGTTCTTGAGTCGATACTTCCACCAGGCTCTGCTTCTGGCTCACATTACCACGTTACTTCTGTTTGTGCTGAAGAGATGGAAGAGGTACAAAAATCAAATCCTACAATTAAACTTAGTTGGATTAGTGGCAGTATTTTACATGGTTGAATCAAAAACTATTTAAAGGGCTTTTAATAGAACTTGCAGCTTCATTTGTTGAACAAAATATTATTATTACAAGTCCTAAGACTTCTTGGTAAACTAAATACCCTACAGGTCTTTTTGTTCTACTGACATTTAAAAAATAGTGTTTATTACAGGTCTGGGAACAGTATTTGGTCTATTCTAACAGATCCGTCTGAGAGAAAAGAGACTGTACACAAGCTCAATGCTGATCATATCCTTTTTATGGTTGTTTAAATCAAATGTATGATGGATTGGATTCAGATCATTTTAAATAAACCAGGCATTCCTGAACTTTGCACTATTAGTCCTAGGTGATATGATGAGAATGGTTCCTTAACCCAGATCATACAGACAGTTCTGGTTCTTTTCACTTCAAATTTCATTGGCATGTGCTTCAGTAGATCTCTGCATTATCAGTTTTATGTCTGGTACTTTCATACGCTGCCATACCTGTTGTGGAGTGGAGGAGTCAAGAAACTTGCCCATCTGCTCAGGTAAAACACAGACACATGGATTAACTGTTTTTTTTTCTCCTCATAAATTGTGTGTGTGTTTGTACATTTGAGTTAGTTTCGTTTGTTGTGCAAAGTGACCGTATCACAACAACCAGAGCATATTTGTTGATTAATAATAGCTATATGGAGCAGAATTTGGAAAAATGAGATTTCACTGTGGGCACAGATTCCATGTGATGTGGTAGAAACATTAGTTAATGCATTAGGCAGTGCTCAATAATAAGGACTGCCTGATGGCCTTGGGCAAGCGCGAAAGAGGCTTAGGACAGTTGACGGAAATGTGCATCATCATTGAAGTTAATTGAATCATTTAAACATTCAAGTGATTTTAAACCTTTTGTTTGCAAGAAGAATTAGATTAAGGCTTAATTAAAAATGTTTTAAAGTATATTTTTTTTGTGCCGGGACCGATGAAAATTGTGGCATGGCAAGTAAAAAAATATGAACCACTGGCTCAACTGAGCCAGTAGAAAAATTCTTAGAATGAAGTCCTGATTAGGAATCATGAATTAAATTTTTTTTTTTTTTTTACACCATTTATTAATCTAGGTTAATTTTTATTTATAAACACACTAATTGTTTCACCGCCGGAGCAAATGTAGACAAGAATGACTCCTAAGCAGCTGAGATGTTCTGTTGTTGGATGTAATAATGAACATAGCAGTAGTCATTTACTCCCAACATCCGAGCCGCTGAAGACGCAGTGGACTACGTTTGTTTCTGAAGGAAATGCGCATAATGCACATAAATGCATTTATGTTCGAGCGAATCATTCGTGATCCAGCTTCACCTGCGGAAGTGAGTATAAGGTTTTTTAATTAATCTTTGAAAATCGCCTTTCCTAATAAAGTGCTAATTAGCAAGTTTCACGATGATTGCGGCTAAAGTAAACAGTCCCTCAGAGAGCGGTTTGGAAAAGAGGGGCGGGGTCAGCAGAGCTTATTAACATTTAAAGGAAAATGCTACAAAACGGCTTGCTCTGAAAAGAGCTGTTTTTGACAGGGTAAAAAAAAAGGTGTTTCACTCACTACCATTGAGAAATTTTAACCAAATTATGTTACAGACTTTTCATTAAGACCCTAAAGAATCATATCAACTTGTGGAAAATGGGCATCGGATGACCCCTTTAATTGTTAATTCATCTTTGTTCATTACATTAAATGAATGTTAATTTATACAACTTAGAATGTAAAAATGCACTAGTATATGTAGAAATGAACACTTCTTATACAGTAGTTTTCATTGTTAGTTCATGATATCTAATGCATTAACTAGTTAACACAATCGTAGTTGATTAGTACAAATTTGTTATATGTCAAACCCCCCCGTCCCAAATCATCCGTGTATCATTCGCTCTCTTTTAGGGTGTTGATTCTGGGTCTGATAGAACTGTCCTGGAACACGTATCCGTCCACCAACTACAGCTCTCTATCACTGCACGTCTGCCATCTCATCATCTTGCTCTGTTTGTGGCTCAACCCGACTCCAGCTCTTCCGTCTCAGAAGTCAGAGAACAAGGCTAAGCGCCACTGAGCCCTGGCCTGCCCAGGGCACTCGCTGTGTGGGATGATCCCTGTCCTCCAGCCCCTGTCTGCAAGCTCCTGTACCAGAGGGACACGTATGTAAGGACACTCTGCAGGACACCGGCCCTCCAGGACCGAGTTTGGGCACCCCTGTTCTTATTAATCTTATGATCTGCTTGCTGTTGGATTTTTTTTCTTTTCTTTTTGCAAGACATGGATTTGCTTAATCCAAAGTGTAGCCGATAATCATAATACAACTGTTGTTCATGATTTTATTCCATTTCCAAGGCTTTTGACAGCCTCACAGCTACGAATGTCTGGGCAAAACCAGGTTGAAGGTACAGTGAACGATTAAAGCCCTTACTGTTTGAAACAACAGTATCTTAAAACCTGAGGAAGCATCATTTGGAATCATTCAGAGCATTTTATTGTATAGATTTGTAAGTGATTGAAAATAAAAAGTCATAATTTCATAACAATTATAGTTACCATAGTTATGATTCTTCTTATGATTGAATATGAAAAATGTAGCCCCAAGTTTTGCAGATTGTTTTTGTGGTGTTACTTGAAAACTTGCTTTTAAGCAAACTCCAAAAATCCAAAATCTCTCAAGGAGGCCAAAAGCAAGCAGTCACTGCCAAACACACAGAATTCAATTGCTGTCAAAAAACAAAACACAAAGGATCATACAAAAATACCAATGTTATTCAGACTGTTTATATGGTTAACAGCACTTAAACTGAGTAATACTGACAGAATCAGTCACTGCAAAAAAAAGGTGGTTTGAAATAAAGTGCAGTTTAGTCTAAAACTTGACTAAAGCAAGAAATAGATTAATCAAATTCAAGCAGCTGTTGTACACTACCGTTCAAAAGATCAGTAAGATTCTTAAAATGTTTTTAAAAGAAGTCATTTATGCTCACCAAGGCTGCATTTATTTGATCTTAAATACATTATTGTGAAATATTATTATAATTTAAAATAAATGTTTTCTATTTTAATATATTTAAAATAATTTATTCCTTTGATTACAAAGCTGAATTTTCAGCATCATTACTCCAGTCTTCAGCGTCACATGATCCTTCAGAAATCATTCTAAAATGCTCATTCTAATTGAATGTGTCCTTGCTGAATAATAATAATTAAAAAAAAAAAACTCTTACTGACCCCAAACCTTTGAACGGTAGCTTAAGTTAAGGCAAGAATGTGTAATTTTGGCCTGCTATATATGTTGGTGATTGTTTTCATGAAGCATCCAATGCTAGTCATTTTGCTATTGCTAAGATAAAGTGTTGTCAGATCTGCAGTGAACTAACTGCATTATACTTAGACTGAGGCCCAAAGATTAAGGCAAAGCTTGTACAGTATTATGGTCTGGGCATGAGAAAAACTTGAACACAACTCAGAATCCTTTATCTCCAGTCCTTTTTAAAGGACATCTTAGATGAATTCTATTCTGCTATAAAGTTGAATTGTGAGTGTAGCCAACAGGGTCAATTAAAGACCAAAAATCCTGTTGGCAGTTTCTCACATGTTATTGGGGTTGTAGCAGAGCACGTTCAGTTTGATGTTTTCATCCCAGTGACGCAACAGCAGGAAAAGCTGCCTGGCCGCTGCCCTCAACCCTGCCAGGTCAACCCCCTCTGGCAGCGACTGACACTTCAGCCAGAAATCTGCCTTGGCAGCCACTAGTTCCCACTCCACAAAAAACCCAGCGCAACGGTGCTCCAACCAGGCTAGAGCCACCGCCGTGGCCCAGCTTGAGCTCTCTACATTCATCTGTGCCAGTTCCTCTCCATGAGGTTCTGCAGGATCCAGCGGAGGACCTTCACACGTGTCAGTCTCAGAGCCCCGCCCACTGTCAGACTGCGGGACTGCACCTACCAATTTCTGAGAGCCTACCTCCACGGTGTCGGACCATGAGTCTTGCATATGTCTCGCTGATGTGGCAGGTGGTGAGGTACAACGGAAAGGGGGGCTCAGACTGCTGCGGTGGCTCAGGTATGGGGATGCTCTTTTCAGGCGGTCCAGAGGGATCTGGATGCACTCGGAGTACGATTCAGACAGAAGAAACGCACCTGATGCCAACTGTAGGCGGACCTGTGGGGACACGAAAACTGAAGTAGGTAACACTGACTTTACGCTGTGATTAATTTTGTAAATCAGTATGTAATTACACCAACCAATGGCAAGTAGTTAGGCGTGTCTGTCTCTAGGTGTCTGTCAGTCTCTGCAGAAAGACAGTGAGGTTTGAGAGGAGCTTGTTTTCCATTATTGCCCTTTAGTCTGCCCAGATTGAACCTGGAGAACACAGAAATTCAGTGTGATCGTACAATAAAGTATAAATCATTACAAAGTGTGATACTTCTGCAGGTCAATGCTGACTTGGACCCGAAGAAACTCTCCACAGAGCGCTGAGAGCGAGAAGACGCCGCTGATGGACTGATGCTTCCTCCTGTGCCTGAAAGACACAACTTCATTATTACACCCATAATTCACCACTCATTTAATAAGGTATAAACAATCCTAAAGGTGCGGTCACACTTACTATTGTTACTATTGATATAAATGCAAAAACATTCCCCATGAAGATTTTGCTGGTGTTTAAGTTGGTCATGCAAATTTGCACTGGCCAACAGAAAGCTGCTTGGTTTAAAAGTGACTCCATGCTTCATGCAATGCTACACTATTGACTCGACCTTTCTGTTTGAGAAATTTCACCGAAATGTGACCGCAGCTTAATGCATTCTTTCTGTCTCCCAATACTTACTGCTGTCCCAGGATGTCATGCTACAAGGGGATGCAGGTGTGTCATCTCTGTCTGGGTCCAAGAAAACAGAACAGAAATTCAGAGTTGCGCTGAACAGAATGCATTGTTTTACAGCCTCATAGTTTTCATGGATGTCCTTGAATCAGTATTTTAAGAGGGTTTCCTTTTCAGGTATCCGTATTTGAGTTGCTTGTTGGAAGTGCTTGTTGAGCCTCAGACTGTTTATGGACTGTTTACTGCATATTGCGGAAAAAAAATGTCAAGAGTTGGCTGAAATTGTGAGCTCCAATCTGATTGGCTGATCTGGCCAGTAAGGATGCAAGGGGTTTTATCAGTGTGATGGGCAACACAGTCATGTTTACAGGGCTACAGGGCTGCTACAAAGAGCACTTTTGAGCTAAAAGCTGGAGATTCATGACATTAAACCTTTGAAAGGTATTCAAGAGCTTTGTTTGAGGCAAATAAATTATATAATCTTGTAAACACTGGTTTATTTTGAGCTGTATTTATCCTAATTTAGGCCCAATTTGTGATTACAGATAGACCTTCGTTCACAAGTCTCTTATGCTCACCAAGACTGCATTTATTTGATCAAAAATACAGTAAAAAAGTCATATTATGAAATATTAATATTAAAAATAACTTTTCTATATTAATATAGAAATATATTTTTAAGCGTAATTTAGTCCTGTCATGGCAAAGTATTTTCAGCATCATTACTCCAGTCTTCAGTGTCACATGATCCTTCAGAAATCATTCTAATATTCTGAAATATTTATTATCATCAAAGTTGAAAACAGTCATGCTGATTCATATTTTTGTGGAAACCGTGCTACATTTTTAAAAGATTCTTTGATGAATAGAAAGTTCAAAAGAATGGCATTTATTTGAAATAGAAATGTTTTGTAACATTATAAATGTCTACACTGTCACTTTTGGTCAATTTAATTCATCCTTGCTGAACAAAAGTATTAATTTGTTTCAAAAAAATATATATTTATGACCTCAAACTTCTGAATGGTAGTGTATGTTACTTAAAATGTACTATATGTGGGTGTGCATGTATAACTTTTAAGGTACCTGTCGAGGTGTGTGTATCTTCTGTTTCTTCACTGGCTCTGCAGGAGGGACGGCGTCCGAATCCCACCGAGCACAACTTCTGTCTTCTGCTGCCAGAGTGAGAACTGTGTCCTGTCCTAAACCGCACACCTAACACACACACACACAGGAGAATTCCATTCCCCCCATGTAGTTTAGCGTGTTTTGTCTCACTTTTTGTGAGATTGTGTGGATTGTCTGTGCTACAGTATATGTGTGTACCTGTGTGTCGTATGCGAGTACTCTGAGGTTGATTTCTGGCATTGGTGTCTGTGGTGGTGAAGCTTGTATACATGCAGACGATTCCACAACTTTTGCTGGTCTGGATCGCTTTCATTCTGTACCGCTTGGATGGACCTACACACCCAAACAACAGGAGAAAAAAAAACATGGATGGAGCAGCCTGTTTATAACTTGAATTCAAATTCAAATATTTTGTTTTTAACTGTTATTCCTATCAGACCTCTTTCAACTTCAATATCTGTTTCTTTCTCCGCCATGTTTTCAAAGTCTCTGATGACAGATCGTGCGGTCAGCTGGTGGATAATCTTATCCCAGGACCCAGTGCTGGTTTGCAGAGTTGCTGAGTTCTCCGTGTCCCACAGAATAGACAGATCCACACGGACCTCCCAGGATACGGCCCTTCCTCCCAGCATGCCATGGATGACTGATCGACACTGGTCCCCTGAAGCCTGGAACTCGCCTGGGGGAGCGGCTGAAAATAGGCATTCTGGATCGGTGAAGGTGTCCCAGTCTAGTGGGGAAGCGGGGAACAGGAGGCCATCTGGATAGAGAGTGGTAGGTAAAAAGAAAAGGATGATTTAATATTTGGACCGAGTTTAATATGCATCTGTGTGTATGTATGTTGATGCATAAACTATAAGATTGTTTTCCCTCACTGGAGTCTGTCAGACTGGGGCGGGATACACCTCCCCGTGAAGTGCTGTGGGTGTCTGTGTCACTCTCCTCCAGTCGGCTCCCTACGGCCTGCTCAAATGAGACCTTCTCTAGCGCCCTCCTCAGCCGGTGCATGTCCAGGTCACCCTGTGGAGATGAGAAACTTCGGCCAGCCAGAGCAGAGCGAGCTAGTGCCTTCTGCCTGTGACGAGATTCATCTAAGAGCTTGCCAGCCTACAGAAACAAACATAGACTACCAGTTAGGATTATAGCTTTGATTTTTTTTCTTCTATTTTATGGCAAGACTGTTCTGTCAGTTTAACTTTTACTTATTTAAAGGAATTGTTCACTCAAAAATGGAAATTTGCAGGAGATTTACTCATCCTTAGGACATCCAAGATGCAGATGAGTTTGTTTCTTTATCGGAAGAGATTTGGAGAAATTTAGCAACTTGGAGAAAGCAATATTATGGATAGAGGACTCATATTTTAGCCACAAGCATTGGTTTGAAGTTAAAAACATCTTAATGATGGATTTGTTTATTACAAACACACAGCTTTTTACTTCAGATATGTTAATTGATGGACTGAAGTTGTGTGGATTACTTGTGGATTATTGTGATGTTTTATCAGTTGTTTGGGCTCTCATTCTGACGGCACCCATTCACTGCAGAGGATCCATTGATGAGCAAGTGATGTAATGCTAAATTTATCTAAATCTGTTCTAATGAAGAAACAAATTCATATACATCTTGGATGGCCTGAGGGTGAATACATTTTCTGCAAATTTTCATTTTTGGGTGAAATATTCCTTTAAATTGGTAACACTTTATAAAAAGGTCTTATTTGTTAACTTTAGTTAATTCATGACATGAACTAGCAATGAGCAATATTTTTTTTTTTTACAGCATTTATTTATTTTTTATAGCATTATTTATCTTTGTTAATGCTTGTTAATACAAACAATACAATTGTTCATTGTTAATGTTAACAAATTCTTAAATATATCACTATATGTTGAACTTAACATTTACTAAGATTAATTATGTAGAAGTATTGTTCATTGTTAGTTCAAGTTAACTAATGTTAACAAATGATACCTTATTATAAAGTGTTAACTTTAAATTGTAAATATTAGCATCCTAATTTATTGATTTCATTGAATTTCCTGTTTAGTAAAAGTAGTTTGCAAAATTTGGAACCTTTACAAAATATTATACTTTATGATATTAAATATTATAATATGAAACTTTTCCACTATTGCAAGTCATTTAGGATAAAAGCATCTGCTAAATGCATAAATGTCAAAAATGTGGACCCACCTGATAGAATTTATGTACCTTATCAGCTTTTAAAAGTTTTTTATTCTTTTTTTTGGAAGTAATGTTCCAAGAGAACCGGTCTACATGTTTTTTTCTCAAAAAAACTTTGCAATGTGCATTTCAGGAATACTTGGTCAGTACTCGTGAATTTTCAAGTTAACAGCAACAGTAATTTGAAAAATGTTTAAATATTAAATCATAAATAGTCAGAATACTTTTTGTCCAGTATACATTGCAAAAATGCACAATACCAATTTGCAGTTGTTACTTGAAGGAGCTGCTTTTAATGCGTGACTCATTCTGCTTTAAATAGGCTTTTTCCATTTTATTTGTAAAGTAATTTTCCTTTGCAGGCTATTTTAGATTACTGGTACTATACATGTTAAATGATGTTAAACTTTCTTTATGTGTAGGGAATTCTTAAATATAAATGCCATCGGCTGCTGTCACCTTCCCTGATGCAGAATCGGTGTCTCCTGTAGAGGTGGCGTTCTGAGCCCACGGAGATTCCCAGCGCGAGAGGCCTCTACCTTGTGTGGGCTCCATTCTCTCCAAGCCATGTGGTAGAGAACCCATGCCCAGCACAGAGCTCTCCGCTTGGGGAGAATCAGATGAGAAGGCCTTTTCACTGCTCAGAGAACAGCGTGTCAACACGTACTGATCCTGAACATATGAATCCTGTTGAATACGCAGGCGCACATCGCTGGTGCTGTAGTCAGTGTCGCCACCTGCAGATCACGTAAGGTATGTTTGAAATGGCTACTACAATTAAAGGGGTCATATGATGCGATTTCAAGTTTTCCTTTCTCTTTGGAGTGTTACAAGCTCTTGGTGCATAAAGAAGATCTGTAAAGTTGCAAAGACTAAAGTCTCAAATCCAAAGAGTGGGTCAGCTGGCCAATCAGAGCAGACTGTGCTTGTCAAAGGAGGGGGCTTTGTTGAAAATGACATGTTTGAGAGAGGCGGGGCATAGAGGACCTACAATAATGTACAGCATTAAAGCATGTCAACATATTCTGTTACACCAAATACACAAAATAATGATCTTTAAAATAGCATCATATGACCCCTTTAAGAACTTTTGAACGGGGTCATTTTTATAAATTCAGATATTATTTTATCTTGTGGAATATATATAAACATCTGTTATGTGAAATAGCTTATTCAAGACAGTACTCATCAACGTTGTTCAAATATCTTCTTTTATGTTCCACAGATAAGAAGAAATGCATACAGGTTTCTTTTTTAGGTGGACTATCCCTTAAAGTATGCAAAATGTATGCTGATCACAAATTTTTTATGCATAGAATACACCTACTACTACTTTTACAACCTGAGCACATTAAGTAGTATCCCACAATGCAATGTACTGAAAACTTAAATAGATTGTATAGTCTTACCAGGGCTGACGGCATTATCGGTGGCATGTGCACAGGAGAACTCAAACGAGATTTCTCGTGAAATTTCCCGCAACGCTTCCTCAAAGTCTCCCTCCACCCCGCACTCTCTTAAAGCATCTCTCTCTCGCTCATCCGGGGGAACCAGAGGCTGAAGGAGCTCAGAAGTGGAGGGAGAGAGCTTGAAAACGGACCCCGCTGAACCATGTGGATGGCTTCTGTATGGACGAGGCTTCACCTGCTTTTGAGCAAGTGTACAGACACAAACTAAGACTTTATACAACTGTATGCATCTCATTTATTTTAACAATTCTTCATTTAGCATATATTGAACAAGAGAAACTAGTCTCTCACCTCACTTTTCTGGGCTCTGATTCCAGACATGTCATATAGAGTGCAGTAGCCAATCAGGCAGTTGCCAGGGTAGAGCGGAGGAATTTCATTGGGTGAGAGAAGGGCCTCCACATTGTCTGGCACATACCAGTCAATCCGTACATCCGTCAACACAGGTTCCAGAGCTTTCTTTAGACATTTAATCAACTGTAGAGAATAAACGAAACATTGATTACTGATAGCAGATTTCCACAGACAAATATCAAGGTACTACCATGTTTTTTGGACATGGTCCCGCAGTATATGTACCATGGTAGTTCCATGTTATTTTCAGAAGTATCTTGGCGTTAAATATAAATACCACAGTACAAGAATTTCAGTTCCATGGTATATTTCAAAGTACCATAGTTTTACCATGTAATGCCATTTTGATGCCTATCATTCACAAAATTTTGCACATCTTGCAAGTTAGTTTAGTAAATATTTTAGCTAGTTTTATATTGGTGTCAGACCAATAAGATTTTCCCCCCCAAAATAAAAGCTCTACAATTTAACAATTGAAACAAAAGAAATGAAGACATAATAATTTATCATAAATATTAGTATTGTAATTTTACTGTTGTTAATAAAAATAAAAGTATTATTATTATTATTATTAATACCACTACTGCTAAATAAATTTTTGCTATACAATAGTACTATAAAATAGTATTTATATATATATATATATATAATACAATAAAAATATTATTTACAATAATAATAATAATTATTATTATTATTATTATTAAATATTACTTGCTTGTTATTTTACAGTACAATTTCAATATTAATATATTTATTTGATTACATTTTTAAAATTAATATTTTTATTATTTTCATTTATTATTTTTTAGTCATGTAGAGAGAGGAAAAACTTTTTCCTTCTTTTCTGTCCTTAGCTAACAACATGCCTGATACTTGCTTAACAATAACAAACAAATATTTTTTTAATCTTTTAATTCAGCTTTGTGTTTTAAACCGAGTTGATAATAGCGGTTCTGTCTCTGTCCCTTTAGAGGGCGTTATGAACTCTCGCACCTTTGGCTGAAGCCTTTCTTCCTCCCTGAGAAACTCTGTACTGCCTCCCGTAACCTTGGCAACGCCCTGCAGTAGCCTCCGGCAGGCCTGAGGACCAAGTCCCAGACCGAAACATCTGGAACAACACCAAGAATATGTCAAAACACAGGTACTTCGATGCAAATGCACTGGGTCTTTGTATATAGTACATTTGTATGATATAAAGACAGTGGATTATATAGGCGTAAGTATGGTTTCATGTCTGTAAGAACAT